TAAGCCCGATATCTTCCCTACAACTAATACCAGCTGTAACTCTGGACATAAGGCCAGCCCGACTCAGAGTTCTTTCGCTCAATGGCTTGAGCTCTCCATACACACTGACTAAGCACATACTAGCCACGAGGGCCGGTGGATGTCACAACGTAGTCAGCATGCTATCGGACGGGTGGTCTGAGGCAAGCAGCTGTTAATGACTTGCCCAGGGTCATTCCATGTCTGGTGGCGCCGAGACTCGAACACAGTACCTTGGGAGTACGTGCTGAACAACTTAACCATTCAGCCACAGCGGCCTCGTTTCTTGGGAAAAGATACGATATCCGATATATCTAGTAATACGGAGGATTTTCACTTCTCGTCCTGTACGGCTACAGCTAACACCTTTCTACTATAGGTCCCATAATGATACAGCATAGATTACGATCTCAATAAGGAGAAATCGATAGTCGGCAATGACTCGTAAATTCTTTTTGTACAAAATATATTTTTTAGAAACACCACTGTCTAATTCGTCAAATGCCACTACGACTCTTTGCAAACGATTTGATGTTGGTGTTGGGACATTCTGTTCATCCTCCGATCTGAAATTTTTTTAAAAAGAAAATGTTATATCGATTGGAGAGTACATAATCCCTTTGTAGGTGGAAAAGTGCATAGACGGAATTATTCAAAGACTACTTTTTCTTGAAACTAGCTAACGCTGCAACTCATGAAAGCTGGGATGAGCATTACAAATGTTTTGCATAAAATCCTAGACTTGAAGCTTTCCACTAGCTTTTTATAAATTCTTTGCGTAAAAGATTTTGATATGCATATCGTTAAATGCACTTTTCAAACATGGTTTACTAGCATCTATAAATCATCGGTCAAAAGTGTTTGGGTGAGACTAAGTTATCTTATGCTTCTATTCGAATCTCGAAAAGAGAGAGCTTGCGATATTTATATAATGTTCACCTTCGTGTCCTTTGTGCGACAACTTACTTTGAATCTGACGGCTTTGTTACAGAAACTAATTTGACAACAGATGTATGTGGAACAATGTGATGAATCTGTGGCGAATACAAGATAACATAACAGCCAACGTGTGCATATGACGAAGTGTCATCGATAAAAGCCTAAAATTGAAATAAAAAGAAACTCCAGATGATAAAATATCAGTATTCAATCACACAGTGATGTATCAGCGCTGCCTGGTGTTCTAATCGACCAACCGATCACCGCGAAGAACAGACTCTTGAAGGGTAACTTTCGATGTATATATATGAGCGAATCGTATTCTTTTTGTACAATTAAATTTTTTGCGTATTTTTGCTCTTGTTTTTATTACTACGAACCGATTTCTAAAAACTGTTTTTATTTTATTTCTTATACCTTGCCTCACTGCTACAGAAAATTTGTAGAGCATCGAATTCTCTATCCAGCAGCGTGATTCAGTTTCGGTTTTATTTACTTCTTCCTTCTCAAACAAGCAAAAAACACATTTACGTATAAATTTATGCTTCATTAATGAAGCCCGAGATTTAAAACCGGTCTGTCTCTTTAGCAAGATACTTTTTAGAAAAACAGAAGAGACCAAAACATAGCGCCTCTGGAACAGCCTTCGATCGAATACAGTTCATTTGAGTTCTCCATGTTGTGGCCTATCGATTGGTATGTCACATGTGCCCTTGCACACTGATCTTAGCTAAACAACTCCTAACAAACTTTCTGCGACAACGAACGCAAGTTGTCTCCCGGATATCTCCGCCAATACGAATCTGGCAGTTTGGAAATTTATACTCTAGACCCAGTAAACGATGAGAAACACGATGCACGTTTCAGATTTTTTCTGTGGACACTTTCATTTGTTTTTCGCCAATTGTACAAAAAAGTTACGATTCGTTCATTTGTATATATATATCTACATATATAGGTTACAGGAATTAAGAAGAAAACAAGGATAGACTGAATAGAAGATATAAAAAGACATCCGCAACCTTTGATCTATACTTATCTTTTGTTGAAATCGCCAAAATTTATATCTATTCAGTCGATCATTGTTGCTTTTGTTAAGTCCTGTAACCTATATATCTAGATATAAATATACACCAAAAGTTTCATTTGAAAAGTGTACTCTTTGCGAAAAAAGGACATCGTGCCCAAAAATAGTTAGGTCAATTATTTTGAGAGGAATCTTGAATACATCTTGACGTTGTATTTAATGGAGGTGGTAACAGGTTTTAGTCTTATTTTGATATTTCGTAAGTATCTACAACGAAAAAAAACTGCTGGTGAGCATCCACATTTTGAAGGGATAATTAAAATGGAAAGAGTTTTCAGTACAGTGTAGTGTTCACTAGATCATGAAAGCATTCCGTTAATCGATTAGAATACATAGGCAGGAAGTAGTACAGAGGTAGAAGTCGACAGTTCACTCATTGCCATTAGAAGTACATCATTCTCAGTCACTCACTGGTAGCTCGCTTGAGCTACAGATAATTGCAGATCATATGTATAAATGAAATAGGATAAAGTTTTCTTTCGATCCAGTTTTTCTCATTACAATTTTCAACCCATCGCAGGCAGTGCCAAAGATTTCATCACACACAGTGGAAGGAAATTTCATTATGGTTTCTTTTAAACCTCTGGGAAGAAAACATTCCAGTAGAAAAAATGGCTTCTAGAGATGAGAAACTGTAAAATGGAAACGTTGAATAACTATATGTAGCGGGAAAAATAGGCGTTGAATAGAGTAAACTTATCAATCTGTTAGATCGGATTTATCTATTTGTGTTCATGCAAATTAAATCATAGTCGTAAAAAATTTTTCTTCCCTTTTCGCAGACGTTAAAGTTTGCAGATTCATACATCATCACTTTTTTGACCGAATGTTATAAGGTTCACAGAGTTGTTACTATTCTAATTTAGATTTGGCTCAGACCAGTTATGGAGGTGCCGTTATTATCCCTTTCTTCTGGCAAGAACATTATTGGTCACCGTGTAAGACTTGAACTAATTATTTTTTTCCAAAATTTCACATACTCGTTACTTTCTCTCAAAAACCGTCTAGTGCATTTTTTTAGTGAATCTTACCAAACCACCATTAAAGTGTTATGTTTATGATTTAGACCACCCAAAAGTCTTTTCTAAAAAGTATGCGCTGCAAATTGACATAAGAACGGGATTTATTTGTCCGCTAAACATGGTTATTGAATTAAAATAATCGGAAAGACAATGTTTCTGTCCCAAAAGATTTTGTAGAAAGTCTTTGGAAAAACTGTAGGGCTTTGTAAGGTTTTTGGCAGATTTTGTATAAATACTATACAAAGTAGTCTAAACTTTGTAGATCCTGTAGTTTACAGGCCGCTCCGATATATTCTGAGCTATTTATGAATTTTACAGTTTTAGGTGGAGAGTGCCTGCACGTTTCACCAGGTTTTTAAACTATTTCCCCAAACATACATTGCTACCAGATTTAGTGTGGTTGATTACGTATGTGTCATGAGATCTCAAGATTAGCCCAAGCATCAGCTACCCATCTTGGGCTTCAAAGAACATCAACACTTCGCCCACCACACTGGAAACCAAGATTTTAGATGACTCCCATTTTAAAGGTGACATTTAAGGCTATCTAGAGCAGTAAAAAATTCGATACATTGTCATTCAAAATTTTGCGACTATAAACAAGTTTTGCAAAGATCTGCTCATAAACCTGTTTTGAAAAACAATTTTGAACAATTTTTCTTTTGCAAAAGGACACTCGAAAATCATGGCTACATAACTGTGAAAACGGCGCCTCCACATCTTTCCTGGGTATGCAACAGTATCAGTATGATACCGAAGTACTGTCGATATCGGTATTATACACGTAACATGATCTCTCTGTTTTCTCACATGTATTATGTAAGAGATGAAAGAGATAGAGAATAGCTGAACAAACAGAAGAAGTCAAATCAGTTGAAAGAAGAAGAAAAAAAAGATGTTTTTGTTCTGCTCTGCTTCTTTTTCTCTAGGATAATAAATTATATCACTCCATAGAGTGAGTCATTCGATAGAGTACTGGTATCGATCGTATCGGTACTGTTGCACGCCTACTGTTTCCGTTGTTGAATTATTCAAAAAAATGGTCAAACCTGTTCTTCCAGACAAGGTAGTAGTTTGACATCTAAAGACAGAATATGTAACAATTGTAACAAGTTATTCTGTCGCGGGATAAACGTAGACACATCATTTATAATTTTAATATTTTTCTTGTTTTTAATACTGTTGTTCATGTTTGAACGAGAACTCAGTTATTTGACTGTTGCTATTGGAACATGTTCATTCATTCACATATGTTTTTGTAATATGTGTAGAAGACTGTCAACAATAAAAACAGTATTTTTTATCGTCAAATAAAAATGAACGTGAATTTCGGAAGATAATGTTATAAGCAACTAACATGATAAATAAAAATAGTTCAGTTAAACAGTGATATTAGAAACTTTTCTTCGTATATAACTATAGATTGCATTTTTTTTTTTTAAACTTGTTCTTGTTTTTTTTAAAAAAAAAATAGTTATATTTAACTTCAAGTCTATGTTGCATAGTGCATAAAACGCTCAACAAAAACCTAGGAAAGGTGATAGATTGCATATTTTATCGTTAGCTAAAGAAAATTGACTAAAGTCTTCGTTTCTGATGGACAAGCCATTTTTCAGGTAAACTCTGTATGACGATAGTTATAGTTTATTCGATAAAAATGGATTCATGTTCGAACGACAAAAACATTTTTTCTGCTTTTATATTTCGCAGTGCAAATAACACACTCTTATTTTGTCGTTCACATACTTTTGACAATTTCACCATCATAAGAATAAAATTTTTTCTTTTCTATGTGGAGAACACACGTGAAGCAATGAATAAAAATAAATTGCAGTATAAAGACATCATTAGTTTGTGGAAGCAAGAAAGAAAGTTCATGGTTTCTATGCCTATAAATATTTCTCATTCATCACATTTTTTGAAGTACTAGAGACATGAACACAAAAATTATTCAAAATTGTAAACATATTATGGAATATGGTAAAACAATTACTATCGACAACGAAATAAAATTGTTGTTCAATGACTTTGTTGATGAATTAAATAAAATTCAAAATTCAAAAAACAGAGTGACATTTCTGAATGAATTACGTAGAATAGTTGAGACAATGTTTAATATTGTCGAAAATAAATATACTGATCCATCTTTACTTAATCATGACTTATTTATTATTTTACGTGATCAATATATCGATTTATTAAATAAATGGAAGAAAAATGATGAAGTATTAAATGATGACGAACAATACTTATTTTTTAACATAGGAGCTTTACTTGCTAATATGACTAATCATGTAAACACTAATAATATTCAGATATTTAAATCGCTTTTATTAAATCAAACACTAATCGAATTAATTAAGCAGTGTCTTAATGACGTGAGTGCAACAGGAAAATATTTAAATGATAATTTAAATTTATCATCTCTTGGTTATATCATAACTGCACTGCAAAGATTTCAACTTCGTCAGGTAAATATACAAGATGATCCAATATTATCTTCTCTACTAGATCTAGTTGTCAAATGTTTATGTTCAGCAAATTATACTGATGTATTTAAACAATTAAAAGTCGAATCCGTCGAAGATAAGCTAAATATAACACAGACGTTTTTTCTAGTAACATGTCCAAAATATATTATTCATTATATTGGTAAACAACGGGAAACAATATATCCGATAATATCTGAAAATCTATTAAAACGTTGTAATGAATTATTTGAAAAGTTTATTCCCTTAATTGTCAACTGGAATAAATGTATCATCGAAGCTATGGAAAAACTTATAGGAATATTACAATGTATTAGCTATCAGCATTCAACTTTAGCGCCTTATAAAAATGAACATTCGAAATTAATCGTCCATATACTGACTATTTTGAATGCTCAAAATTTAATCAAGCAAATTATTGATAATGATGATTATAATCAAATGGTTAGCTTTTTGATTGGCTATTGTATACGATATATATATTATCTTTCGCTTGAACCAAATTTGCTAATAATTATTCAAAATCAAAATGTAACACAAACATTTTATGCATTAACAGAGGCTAAAGATAAAGAAAACAAATTTAATTGTTATCGGATGTTGGCTATAATATTGACTGAACAAGATGTTAAGAGATTAGCTAATCCAAGGAAAATAGCATCGGTATTTACGACCTATTTGAAAAGAGCAATTGTTGATCCATTATGGATATTGAGACTGCCTAGGTTATTATTGAGCTTAAAAAGTATGTATCATTAATCATATGTAGTCTGTATGTGTTAAGTTCTTCAAAGTTTCAAAGATATGTGTCAGAACGTGAAAAGTATCAGCTCTTATGGAGTTTTTAGGTTTTGAAAAGTCTAAAAAACTAGTGATTTGCTTGAATGTGACATGACTTGTTTTTGATGAAGGTTTAGTACAACATGAACAAATCAAGCAAGAGCTGATCAATCTAGATGCTATTTCGTTATTGATCCAATGTACTATGGAACCGAAGTTTGATACTATTACAGTACAACAAAATGCCTTGGAAATAGTTTTGGCGATGACATTCAATGAACAAGCTGCGACCATATTAAAAACTGATGAGAAATTTATGTCTCATGCTAGATCATTATTATCATCCGAAGTAAAAGGATTACAAAAAGTAGCCGAAGGTATTCTGTGGAAACTCGAACAAGAATCAGAGTATATAATAGAACAAGATAAAAAGGAGCAAACAGGTCCAAACATGCAGGTTGTTGATGAAAAATTGTCAGACAGAGAAATAGCTGCGAGCGCACCGATTACAATCCAGAGAAAACCAACATATAAATATGATATAATGATCAGTTATTCTCACAATGACAAAGAATTATGTTATCGTATTCAAGAACAACTACTCAAAGATAATTTTCGTGTTTGGCTCGATCGTGATAATTTATATGGTGCGACGATGCATTCAATGGCCGATGCGATCGAATATTCAGAATTTGTTTTGATTTGCATGTCGGATTCTTATAAGCAAAGTGTTTATTGTCAATCAGAAGCCCACTATGCATTTGAACGTCGATGTCATATTATTCCGTTGATCATGAAATCCCAGTATCGCCCGGATGGATGGTTGGGGTTTATTGTCAGCGGAAAAATATACATCGATTTTCCAAAATTGAATTTCGATGCTGCTTATCAGAAACTGAAAATGGAGATTCAACAATACCGAACACAGAAAAACGACATTAAGCAATCATGTGCGAATGGTGAACGTTTGATACATTTAGATCAGGAACAGAGTGTTAATCGTGATTCGATAACCGAGAAAATACCGTAAGATTTCAAAAGATCTTAGATTTGTGCGTTTACTTTGCTCTGTTCTTGTAGAGATAATGTTGTACGAAAGATATCCGCCTATGCGAACTGTGTTGTATCTTGGACAGAAGAGAATGTGAAAGATTTTCTGACTGATAAAAACCTTGAAGCAATGATACCTTTATGTGAAAATATGGATGGACAGGCATTACATCGTTTTTATCAGATGTGTCAAACAAATTTCGATGCCATGTACCAATCGTCAAAAACTGAATTACTCGAATTACACAAGAAAATATTACCCATCAATGTTTATATACGATTTATAACTGAATTGAAAAAATATGTGCCTATTTGTGCAATCGACAACGATCGTAATCTATCATCAGTTATCTGCACAATTATGTGAAGCGAATACTCAAATATAACGTTCTACCCGTTATTTTCTTAAATTATTTTTTTGTAGTGGCGCGTATTGGATCGACTTTGTGTTAACAATAAAGGTGATTTGAAAGATAAAAAGGAGCAAACAGGTCCAAACATGCAGGTTGTTGATGAAAAATTGTCAGACAGAGAAATAGCTGCGAGCGCACCGATTACAATCCAGAGAAAACCAACATATAAATATGATATAATGATCAGTTATTCTCACAATGACAAAGAATTATGTTATCGTATTCAAGAACAACTACTCAAAGATAATTTTCGTGTTTTATCATATGGGCAAAAATTGAATGAAGAAATGAAGCGTGTGGTCAACCAATTTCTTTCGATTCTGATGGTACTTGTTAAAATAATGCATTTAAGTCGATCAGCGCATGAAAACTGTATTTTCTCAGTACGAAGAGACGAGCGTCAAAACTCTTATGTTCTGTTAGATCTTCTGTATACATAGTCCTTCAATTTGAACTTCAATTTGAATTTTAGATTTTTTTATTGTTACAAATAGCTGTTCATTTTCATCTAGTGGTTTTCGTTTTGACGCAGGTGTATCAATAGAGTTGATACTTGACGAGATAGTTGGTTCAACTTTCTCGTTTTTCTCCATTTCCTTCAATGTCCACAAATTCTTCTGGAGAAACATTAGTTTATTAGAGCGACAGCTGTTGGTATTTTAGCGAAAAAAAATTTCGGGGTTTAACGGGATTGTAATTATGGCTACGGGACGGGATCGGGATTGAGATTAAGCGTCCGAGACGGAATCAGGATAGGGATTGGCGAAAAGAAGTTTTCGGGATCGGGGGAGCTCTACCCAGAAGTCTCTGGTAATAGGTCAGAAGGTCTAACCACTGAGCTACCGATGTAACATACATTCTCAGTTCACACGAATGATTTTCAACTATCAGAGTCTCGAACACTGACACGGTATCCCTAAATTTGTCTATCAAATTATGTCTCACTTCTAGCCGTGTTAAATATCCATTTTCTAATGATACCTTTATTTACAACTGCTGTTTCGCCCATCATACTTTGCTTGCCTAAGAAACTGAATAGTGGAGCTACTGCTGCGCTCTGGAAAACTACCCGCTGTTCACTGTAGCACCTCGTTGAATCCGTGCCTCATGTCTAGAAACAAGTGCCCATGGGTGATATTAGAACTGAAAGGTTTTGTTCAAAATATCAGTTTTGAAAGAACAACCGCGTGTTTTATCGACAGTTGTAACTTAATAGCAGTTAGATTATGTACAAAAATGGTTAGTTTAGATGGATCCTCTCTTACCTATGGGAGAAAATGGGAAAATATGATCACTCAAGCATGGCCACTAGATAGAGGACGCCTGAAAATAAACCATTTCTCCATAGTAAAATGGTGCAATTTGCCTCTTGTAGAAATTATAAATGACTCGGTCAATGGATGGTTAAAGATCCTTTATATAGAATATTGCAGAGTAAATCAAGGGCTATTTTTCTACACCAGACACAAGCTGGATTGTCGTTTGCATATGGAGAAAAAGTACCTAAGAGTCACCCTATCTTTTCTGAAACGTTTCAAATGCTCTGAGAAAAGTGGCCCGTGTAGAAAATGCGTTTTCTTGAAAACTTAGTTTTTGCTACCGAGCTGCATTGGGCCACATTACGACACCCCTTAAATTTCATCCGATCGAGTTAAAAATTTTACCAGAGACAGTCAAGACACTATTGCAGAGGAATTTTCTTGGAATTTTATATTAGACTTTTCTTTATCGAGTAATAGGGTTTCTAAAATTGAAAAACTCGATAACTCGACCAGGAAAGGTATTAAAAATTTCCCCGAAACTATCTCTGCTATATGACCTTCCGTACCTCTGATAAATTTCTTAACTCTATTGGATGGAATTTAAGGGGATGGGGTCGTAAAGTGGTCAATGAAAAACCGAATTTTCTGGAAGCTGGTGAATGTCAATAGTTAAAAACTTAAAAGGAAAATGAAAGAGTGCTCCATTGTGTTTCCAATCAGTTGTGAAAATATGAAGCCTTAGTGGCTTTTAGTTTTTATGTCACAGCATTTCTACGAAAAGCCCAAAAAGAGTGGAGGGATACCCTAAAACATTGCTGATATCGTCTTTTAGGCACTTTAGGGCATACCAAAAGTACGGGCAGTGACACTTTAATACCGTATAGTAGGCTCAGCGGCGTATCCAAGGGGGGGGGGGGCAAATGGGCAATTGCCCATTGTAATTTTTATTAGTAAGTTTTTGCCCATTGAAATTTTACTTAGCGGATATACCCAGGGGGTTTGTTTTTGTTTACCCGTTAGAAAAATTTTTGTATGGGTGCCG